CTAAGTTCATCGGAAGGTGTGAGTGTATGTTTCTTCGTGGCGTAGTCACAGCACGTGGGGCAGGTTGTGTGGTGCAGTCTGCGTGGTGTAGCCTGCGGTGCATGGGGCGGGGCATTTCCAGCGGTGACGGGAGCAGCGCCGACGTGGTCAGGGGCGGTCTGCAGAGGCAGCGCGGGCTGCCGCGACGCAGGCAGACTTCAGGAGACCAGCGCTCGCGGGGGTCGCCCGCGGGCGCCTGGTTGGTTCTCGGCGGCGCTTGCGGCCCCGCGAGGTCTGCTCCCAGGGCCTCGGCGGGGATAAGAGTGGCGCCAGCTGAGCACGCATGCGCCGATGTTGGCCAGGTCAAGTCCTGATCGGGCCTCACGTGGAAACCCATGTCAAGAAACGCCCTGCTTGCCTCCAGGGTGCCCCGGGCTTCTCTGGTCTCGATTGTTCTGCTACGGACATCGTGACGCCCCCACACCACCAATCAGAGGACGTCCTGGGGTCTAGGGTCAAGTCGGGCCTGTCCCTCTACAGGGGGAACGTTGAAAAATAGGCAAAATTGGTCAGGGGATTATTTGCTTGATGTTTTTTGTTTGATCATTTTTGATGTTTGGAGTACTTTTTAGTTTTCGTCAGAAATCTCCCTGTGGAGGGGACGCGCCCGACTGAAGTCTAGGGTCTGGGGCTTCTCGTGGCAGATCTCTTGTGAACGATCTCTTGCCGTGCGATCGGTGTGGGCGCCCCCACACCAGCAAACAGAGGACGCCCCAGGGTCCGGGGGCGGGGCTCCTCGTGGATTCCGCACGAACGCGATGGGTACGGAAAGAATGGGTACAATGCCCAAGAGCGGATCTTTTTGGGATCGCTGTCGATTTGGAGCGTTTTCGCCCCAAGTCTTTGTCCCAGGTTCGATGTTGAGCGTTTTCGCCCCAGGTCTGGGCGCCCGAAATGGGTACGGAAAGAAAAGGCACGATGCCCAACAGCAGTTCCGGTTCATTTTGCACAGGACTCGCTGTCCGCGCCGCCACGGCCCGTGTCCATTCGAGACAGGAGACCGCCCGCCCCACAGCGGCCGCTGTTGGTTTGGGACAACATTTGTTGTTGGGCACTGTACCCATTTCCTCTGTACCCATTTCAATGTTGAGAATTGAATGTCGGCTCAGGCCTGGATTCGCCGCGGCCATCACCCTGAGGCACAAAAAAATACCCCCTCCAAAAAAACTCGTTTCTTATTTCCCGCAAATCAGCAAACACCATTCACTTGAATCAAACAGACTTTCTCGGGCGTTCGAGTGGACGATCTCCCGTGCACGAGCTCCCCTCTGCTGTGCGAACGGTGCGGGCGCCCTGCCGGCCGAGCCGCACGCGGGGGGTGCAGAGGCGCTCAGGCCCAGCTAAGGGCCAAAAGGGCAGGAGCGGGCGTGCGCTCGGCGTGCGCTCGGCGTGCTGTCAGGAGGGTAAAAGCACACAGAGGCGCAATTTAATCGTCGACTCCCCAAGAACATCTGGGGAAATCTGGGAAGTGGGGGGGAAGACAAGAACCCTGAAGATTTGGGAAAATGTTGGGAATCCTGTTATTTGTGTGTGTGTGTGTGTGTGTGTGTATTTCTTTGTGTGTCCTGGGGCCCCTTCGGTGTGCTCGTGAGAGGGGAGGGGCGCAGCCCCCCCCACGGAGCGGGCGCCCGCGACGCGGACGGCCACCCCGAGGAGGGGCGGCGGGCCGGCGGGGCCCGGGGCGGAGCGGCGCGCCTGCGCGGCGCCGGCGCCTCGCGGCGCCGGGCGGGCCGCCGGATCGAGGCGGATGCCAAGTCTCTGGACGCCCGACATGGGTACCGAAAGAATGGGTACAATGCCCAACAGCAGTTCCTGTTCAATTTGGACAGGATTCGCTGTCCAGAAATGGGTTACTGAAAGACTGGGTACAATGCCCAACAGCGGATCTGGTTCATTTTGGACAGGATCCGCTGTCCACGCCGCCGCGGCCTGTGTCCATTCGAGACAGGAGGCCGCCCGCCCAACAGCGGCCGCTGTTGGTTTGGGACAACATTGGTTGTTGGGCATAGTGCCCATTCTTTCCGTACCCATTTCAGGCGTCCAAATGTCCCTCTACAGGGCGAATATTCAAGAATCGCCAAACCAATTGTCTGGGGGCTATTTTTTGAGTATTTCTGTCGACCATTTTGGTGTATTTGTTGTTTTTGTTTAAAAATCCCCCTATGGGGGGATACGCCCAACTTACGGCTAATGTCAGCAGCTCCTGGCCTGAGCTGCTGCAGGCTTCCCGCTTCCCCCCCCCCTCCCTTCTCCTCCCCTTTCTCAGGAGCGAAAGAAGGACGTACACGTACATGAATCCACGCCGGCTTCGAGAGTTCGCATGGCGCGAATGTTCGTATCACGCGGCCGGTCTCGCGGGTCAAGGGGCCGTGTTCATGTACATAGCTGGGCGCGTACGTCCTTTGTGGGCCCCCTACTTTCCTCCTCCGTGCCACGGGGCTTCCCTCCCGCGCTCGTGGGCGAAGCCGTCGGCCAGCGGAGGGGCGCCACAGCTGGCCAAGCAAGCGCGGCCCCGACGAGGGCAGGCAAGGTCGGCACGTTCCTCCTCCGTGCCACGGGGCTTCCTGTTCCTCTGCTTTTCCTCATCCTTTCCTCCTCCGTGCCACGGGGCTTCCCTCCCGCGCTCGTGGGCGAGGCGTCGGCCCGCGGAGGGGCGCGCCACAGCTGGCCAAGCAAGCACGGCCCCGACGAGGGCAGTGCAAAAGGGGCTGGCAGGGCGATGGCGGCAGCGGGGAGAGAGGCCGGGCTCTCCGGGCAGCAGCGTCGGGCCCGGAGGTCGTGGGCGAGCGCGACGGATGTCAGTCAAAAGCCCTAAGGAGGACGCGGATTTACGTCGGATTTACGTCGGACTGACTTCTGTGCATCGCCGCGCGAGCATCGACCCATAGCTTACGGAGCTGACAAGTGGACCAGATCGTACTACTATTACGCGCCGCGCGAGGCCTCTAAGATTTTCCTCATAAGAATAAGCGTGTGAGGTGGTTTGTGTCACCCTCCCCTTAGTGGGCCCCGGAAACGGCAGGGCCGTTTTTTCACCGTTTTCGACAAAGTGTCCCTTGAAAATGGAAACGGCAAAAAACGGCGACCAGAAACGGCAAAAAACGGCTCCAGGACCGGTCAAACAACGGCGACGGAACCGGTAAAAAAACAGCGTCGGAACCGGCAACAAAAACGGCAAAACGGAACCGGTAAAAAAACGGCCCTGTCGTTTCCAGGGCCCTCTGAGGACGCGCGACTTTGCTCAGGGTACTCCAGATTTCAAAATAAAGGGAGGGGGGTCTCATTTCGGGGGGGGTCTCTTCCAGGCTATCTTGGAGGGCCTGGGGTGGTCTGGGCACGATGTTTTGGAGGGTTCTCCCACGAGGGGGGGTCTGAAATGGCTTGTCTTGTAGGGTCCAGACCCCCTCCCTTTTATTATTCCGAAATCTGGAGTAACTTTTGCGTCCTTGCTCCTCCTTGCTCTTGCGTCCTTGGGGGTTTTCGTCGTCCGCCGCCCCACAAATCCCAAGTCGGACGGTGGACGAGCGCGACGGATTCCGGGCAAGTGCTGGCGGGCGGCGGAGGCGTCGGCCGCCTCTGCTCAGGAGGGGAACAAAAACACACAGACACAATGAATCGTCGACTCCCAGGGAAATATGGAAACACATGGGACTTGGGGGGGAAGGAAAAAAACTAAGGAAATATTGAACAATACGGGGTATCCTTCTAGTTTTTTTTTTTTTTTTTGTGTGTGTGTGTGTGTCCTTGGGCCCCTTCATCCAGGCATCGTCGAGCCCGAGGTCGTGGAAGAGCGCGACGAATTCCGGGCAAGTGCTGGCGGACGGCGGAGACGTCGGCCGCCTCTGCATCGGCCGAGGTCGAGCCTGCGGGGAGCAGCGCGGAGGCCGTGGTCTCAAGTCCTCGGGCGCCGGAGGGCTGGCTCCTGCAGGAAGAGGGTGTCGCCCTGGTGGCGCGGACCGCGGGCTGGTGGAGCAGGCCGCGATCGATGCTCGCATGACTGGGGGACGCGTGCCTGGTGGCAGGTGCGCCACGGGTGCAGGGTGCTGGCATGCCTACGACCCCATGGTGTGTGTGTGTGTGTGTGTGTGCGTGTCGGTGTGCGGTGAGCATGCGCGAGGGCGCTTCCCTGCGTGGCGAGGCCAGGCCTCCTGCGACCCGCCCACGGCGCGCGCGAGGACCTGCCGGCCCGCCCGGGCCATGCGCGCGCACGGGACCGCCGCGGGTGTTTTCTTCGGGGCGGCCTGTGGTAGTTGGGTTGAAGTTGTGGAATATAGTTTGTTCCACTTGTTTTGTTTGTTTTTTGGAAATTAACTTCCCGTTATAAAACAAGGCTAGGATCGGGATAAATCGCTCCAGAGCGTTCCGGAGCGCTCTCAGAGCGTTCCAGAACGCTCTGGAGCGGCCGCGGCGCCCAATACGTCCTCCAAACCCGCCGATTCTCAGAGATTTTGAGTTATCACGATCCGATTTTGTCCCGATGTTCGCGTCGTTTTACGTTATCTTCAACCACTCTATCCCCTGACTTCCCCCTATCTTCAACCACTCCGCGCTGGCTCCGAGAGGCTGCTGCGGCGGAGGGCCAGCGGAGCTCCCGGGAAGACGCGCCAAGGCCAGCGAGAGGCTTGCGCTTTGTTGTTGTTGTTGTTGTTGTTGTTGTTGTTGTTGTTGTTGTTGCCCGCGGCGCGCGAGAGACAGGCGGCTGCTGCAGGCATGCCTTGGGGCGATTCGTATCGGTGGCCAGCGGCCCCGCTCTGCCGGCGGTTCGTTTTGTTCTCGCTCGCGCTGGTCCGTGCGGTCGTCGTATGCCTCGACGGAGCCTTCTTTCTACGTCACGCAGCCACTGTGCACATCATCATGATCCGAATCGCCCCTCACTCTCTTTCCCTCCAATCCCCCTCCTCCTCTCCCCCCTCCCCCTCGGCGCCTCACCCTCCTCATCTGCTCCTCTCTCCTCCAGCAAGGTGGTGGGCACGATCGCAGGGAAGTCTTCCGGACATGTCGCCGACGCCCTGGATCGCGACAGCCATCAAAGCGGACCAGACCCCGCCAACGAATTTGACCGGCACCCGCGCAGCAGTTCGGAGCTTGCCAGGCTCGTTGTTAGAAGTGCATTGAGCCGTGCAGCTACCGCCCAGTGTTAGCTTAGCATACCAGCTGGCACTCTCGACGCGCAGCACAACCATGCTTCGCAGTGCTGCTGTGCGCGTTTGGGTTTGTGTATGGACGAGTATCGAAAAAGGCATATGGGAAAACCGTAAGAATGATCGTTGGTACTTCACAGTACGCTATGAGAGAACCTCTTCTCTTTCTGCATCTCCTTTCCTATTGCTTTTGCCCGTGCTGCTTCTACGCTCGCTCTCTCGCACTTTTTTTCTCTCCCTTGTTGTTACTCGTTTCCCTCCCCCTCCTTCGCCTCCTCTTCCTCCTATCCTCCTCGCGACGATCAGGGGCTGTGATCGCTCTTGCGAATCCCTCCTCCTTCCCTCCTCGTCCCCTACGTCCCGTCCTGTTTCTCCCCCTCTTCTTCCCCCCGCCTTCCTGCTTGCCCCCCCGCCGGCGCCGCCCCGCTGCCACTCCTCCCCGCTCATCCTCCACTTGGCCGTGCGATCGGCTGCGTGTTCTCGGAAAGATAACAACGGTTTGTCGGGCCTGTCCCCCTACAGGGGGATTTTCGACGAAAAATAAAAGATACCAGAAACAAAAAGCTCCGAAAAGGTCAAACAAAATACACAAGAAATAGTCCCCAGACTATTTTGGGAATATTTTTGAATATTTTTTGGGGTATTTTTCATTTTTCGTCAAATCCCCCTGTAGGGGGACAGGCCCGACTTAAGACAACGTGCGTGTCTGTGATTGTGCCTGCATGGTCCTCGGCTGGCCCCATAAGCGGGCCGCTACAGTGGAGGAGGCCCAGCCGAGACCCCGGCGGCTCGTCCCTGCGCTGGGGCTCCCGTCAGGCCTCGCGTCGCCGCGGCCGGAGCCCGCCTCGGAGAGCGGGTCGGGAGGGCACCCGGGACGGCAAGTCCGAGCGGCTTTGGGCCGGGCGGGAGTCACCGAGCGCGTGCCACGGCTCGCGGAGTGCCTGCCCTTACGTCGGGCGTGTCCCCCTACAGGGTTTTTTCGACGAAAAATAAGAAAATACACCAAACATAGCAAAAACATATTCCAAAAATAGTCAGGGGACTATTTGTTGAGTATTTTTTGACCATTTTTGGCTATGCTTTGAGTTTCGTTGTATTTTTCGCCCCAAATCCCCCTGTTGGGGGACACGCCCGACTTAAGCCTACCCGCAAACGTCCGAAGCACACATGTCTGCCTCGATGCCATGTGTCGCAGATCCCTCCCGGCGGATCCAGGCCATTCGCGAGCGGTCGCTCTTTCCCAGCCTGGAACATATCCCTATCCCTATGCTGGGCATCTCGTCACGATGCCAATCTTAGGGATTCCCTCATTTTTTGAGGGCGGATCCCTAAGATTGTCATCGCCTTTTGGCGTGCCAATCTTAGGGATAGGGATATCTTCGAGGCTGGTGAGCTCTGCCAGTCGTGGAACGCGCTCGTCTAGAGAGAGAGCCTCCGTGGTTGCAGCTGGCCCTCCTCCGAACAGAGTGGGCGTGCGTAGGGGGCCACATGCGAACCCTACCCCTACTTCCCACGATTTCGAAGGGGGAGGGTGGGGTTGACTTCGCTCGGAAGTTCCCGAACGAAGTGAACCCCACCCTCCCCCTCAGAAATCGTGGGGGCTAGGGGTAGGGTTGGCATGTGGCCCCCTAACTGTTCTGGCGTGGTGCCCCCATGGCCTCATGAGCGGGTCAGCGGGGCCACGCAGTAGTGCTCTGCCTCATATGTAGGCAGTGCGTGGCAGTTGGCACGTCGGCAGTCTCAGGCGTGGCCAGGTCGACAAAGGCATCCATCGCCAACACTGTCGCCATGACTGGAATTAAGCCGGGCCTGTCCCTCCACAGGAGGAATATTCAAAGATAGTCACAAAATAGTCGGGGGACGATTTTTTTTTTTCTTTTTTTAAACTATTTTTGCCCATTGGGGGAGCATTTTGCGAGTATTTTTCATTTTTCGTCCAACATCCGCCTGTAGGGGGGGGCCACGCCCGACTCAAGACTAGAAGCTCGCCGAGGGGCAGCCACCGTGATTTGTGCTTCTGGGGCGACGGAGGAGGGGGTGATGCTTGCAGGGCAAGGACAGATCTGAGCAGCCGAGTCGTGTGTGAGAGCACACCCGAGATCCGAGCTTCCTGCGCATGTGGGTCGTAAGGACTGCGATTGACGGATCAAGTTCGCCGGCCGAGAAGCAACGCTGCCCCCCCCCCCCCCAGCGACCTCCAAGCCATGACTTCCATCGTCGTCAGCATGTCCGTATGCGAAGCCTCTCTCTCTATATATATTCGATTCCCCTCAAAACATTTATATTCCAACTTGCTCCATGGGGTCCGCGCCAGTGCTTGGCCACCAGTGACACTTCTTCTGGTGCATGGCTCGGCGAGGTAGTAATGCCTGATCTGTTTGACTTGATACATGGCCCCCCCGCACCCTTCCGTGGTGGTACATCCCATTATCCCGACCACACTAGCGATGTGCACGCGCTCTCATGGCGTTATGGGTGCGAGTCTAATGGTTGCGTCGGGCGATGTGCATCCCCATGATGCAGCAAGGTGCGTCCTCCTCCTCCTCCAGCTCCTCCTCCTCCTCCTCCTCCTCCTCCTTCTATCCGAGAAGACAAGGATCCAGAGCAACACCTCCCCCTCCCCGCCCCTCTTCGCCCTCTCCCTGCCTCCCCCCTCCCTGCCCTTCCGCTCCCCCAGCCTCCCCTGCCTCTCGCTCTCGCGCCCCCCCCTTCCACCTGGAGGCCTCCCCCTCCCCCTCTCCCCCTGCCCCCCCCCCCTGGAGGCTCCAGCAGGAGCCGCAGACGTGCCAGGTTGGGTTCGAGTGCGTACAGTGCCGTTATAAATACATGCTCCGCGTGCGGATCATGTATTAAAAATGCAGGGACTTAGTATCAAACACAACGATGAGTTCATGCATAGATTTGTTCATACATTAATCATGTATTAAACATCCTATATTTTTACAGTCCTATGGGTTAACAACTGCCCTGTAGGTGGGGTCGGAGGATCGTGCCGCATCGTCGGTGCACTGGCGATGCGGCGCGATGTGGAGCCCGAGTTCCTCCACGCCGACGTTGCCGATCAGTGGCCGATGTTGTCGATGCAGCGCCGATGCATCGGCGATGCGGCGCGATCCTCCGGCCCCATCCGCTCGGGCCCCATTTGGGAGGCCTCTGCATAGGAGGGTCGATCGAGCATCCCCGATCCTTCGCTCTTGAGGTATCTTTCTGAAGAGCCTTGGAGCCAGAGGGAGGCCGCATAAGCATGCGCTTGCGGAGGTTCGCACGGAACCCTTGCACCCGCGATCGAATGCCTTGGCGGCGCCTCTGGCGCTGCCCCTGGCGCGCTCCGCGCGTCAGGGAGGGGGGTCCAGTGCATGTCCAAGACATCCACGCGGACCTTCGGCGGTTTTATGTTTATGCGTTTGTTGTTTTTCTGGTAAGAGGAGGATCGACGATTCCCGTTCGTTGATGTGTGACTTCTGCCGAATGAACGGTCTTTGTTCTTCCCCCCATGGGTCAGAGTGTGTTCCTCGATGCTCGCACTTTGCTTGTCAGGAGAAGTGCTGGTGCTCACTTTGGGTTGCGGCCCCCCAGACTACAAAAACAACGGCTCTCGCCGCATACGTCCTTACAATCCTTCACGCCTCGCGTATCCTCAGCAGCCCATCCAGAAGCGAATTGTTTGGATGAGAATTTTGAAGGGGGGTTGATACTGAGGATGAGAATGAGGAGGAGGAGGAGGAGGCGGAGGAGGATGAGGAGGATGAGGAAGAGGAAGGGTAGAGGAGGATAATGATGAGGAGCATGACTACGCGGAGCGTTTGTTGTGAGAGCCTCTTTGAGTTTTTTTTGGCTATCATGGGGGTCTTCTTTGGGCCCTCTTGGGGTCTTCTCTTGTCTTCCTGGGCCCTCTTTGGACCCTCTTGGGGCTTCTAGGGGGTCTTGGTTCTCCCCTGGGAGCCCTTCGAGAGCTAGACTGGTGCATGGCAGTGATGCAGACTTTCCAGACTTGAGCGTCTTACCTTAGACTTGAAAGGTTCGCTGCCAGTGCTGTGGCCTCCGCGTGGCGTCCCCCGAATCGTCCCCCTTGCGTCCTCGCGCCCATCCCCGTCGTCCCCCGTACCATCCCTGCGCCCATCTCCTCGTCTCGACAGGTGTCTCGCGATGCACCCCACGATGCACGGACAGCCACAGGGACGCCGATGATGACGGTTGTGAAGATGGCATGGGGACGTTCTAGAGAGCTAGCAGACCTTTAGACAACACGGGGGATGGCTTTAGCAAAAGGCTTGCATCTACTTGGCCGGCTTGCGTTAGACTTGCGCTGGACGCGTTCAGATTTGCAAGTATGTTTACCCTCACGGGTATCCTTTGCATGTTTGCCAAGTCTTACGTCCTTGTCAAATCGACCGCAGGCTGATTGACGAGGAAAGATGAGCGGCGAGAATTGATGAGGATTGTGGAGGGGGGGAGGGGATGCGGGAGCAACGGGGAGTGTACAGGGGGCAGGGTGGATAGGAGTGAGACCGTGCGAGGGGCAGGGAGGTGCGACGAGAGCACTGCGGGGGGCCCAGGGACGAGGGGAGGAGGCGGGCGGGAGGAGGGGGGACGGAGGAGAGGCCAGGGGGGAGGAGGACGGCGGAGGAAGGGGGGCCACCTGGAACGTGGAGGGAGGAGGATGGGCTGGAGGCGCGCCAAGGGGGGGGGGGGGGATGGGCAGAGGGGCCGAGGAGGGGCCCCCTCGGGAGGGGATGGCGGAGGGAGCGCGGCGGAGCGCCCCGTCCGCAGCCTCGGGACGCGAGGCCCGGCGCCGCGCCGCCCGGCCGCCCCCCGCGGGGGCGAGCCTTCGGGAGGGCAGAAAACACACACACACACAGACACAAGGAGTCGTCGACCCCCCCAGGAAACTATATGGGCAACTATGGGACGTGGGGGGGAAGACGAGAACCTAGAAATGTGGGAAAAGATGGGGGATCCTTTGATTCGTGTGTATTTATTTGTGCGTCCTGGGGCCCCTTCCGTGTGCTCGTGAGAGGAGGGGCGGCCCGCGGGGGCGAGCATTCAGGAGGGAAGAACGCACGCATGGGAAACTGTGGGAAGTGGGGGGGGGAGACTACAAAGACCCAGAAGATAGGAAAATATTAGGGATCCGTTATTTGAAACGTTGTGGGAACATATGGGAAACAGATTGTGGGAAGTTGGAGGAACATATGGCAACATATTGGGGAGATCTAGGAGTTTATTGGAACATGTTTATCTGTGTGTCCCCAGGTCCCCCAGGAAACTATATGGGAAACTGTGGGAAGTGGGGGGGGGGGGAGACAGAGACCCAGAAGATATACAGCAAAAGATTTGGGATCCCGTTATATTTGAAACACTTTGGGAAAATATGGGAACCGGTTTGTGGGAAGTTGTAGGACAATGTAGGAACACGTTGGGCAGATCTAAGGTTTTTTAGGGGACATGTTCATCTGTGTGTCCCCCTCTGGGACACTCTGGGAAGTGGGGGGGGGGACAAGAAGACCCAGAAGATGTAGGACAATGTAGGGAATCCCGTGCCTTGATTGTGTCTCTTTGTGTGTCCCAAGGCCCCCTTCAGAAGCATGGCGGCCGCGCGCCTGCGGGACTTCGCCGCCGGCCGCGCGGAGCAGGCGCTCGGCTGCTTCGGCCGCGGGGAGTGGGCCGCCGGGCTGGCCAAGGCGCGCGCCGCGCTGGAGCTGCTGGAGCGGCAGGAGGAGGCCCGGCGGCCGCCGGGGCGGAGGATGTGGCCCTGCTGCTGCCCCCCCTCCTCCTCCTCCTCCTCCTCCTCCTCCTCCTCCTCCTCCTCCTCCTCCTCCTCCTCCTCCCCTCCTCCTCCTCCTCCTCCCCCTCCTCCTCCTCCCCCTCCTCCTCCCCCTCCCCCCTCCCCTCCCCTTCCTCCTCCGCCTCCTCCTCCTCCTCCTCCTCCTCCTCCTCCTCCTCACCTCCTCCTCCTCCCCCTCCTCCCCCCTCCTCCTCCTCCTCCTCCTCCTCCTCCTCCTCCTCCTCCTCCTCCTCCTCCTCCTCCTCCGCCCCCTCCTCCTCCCCCTCCTCCTCCCCCTCCCCGGCAGGAGGAGGCCCGCCAGCCGCCGAGGTTGAAGAGGTATATAGCCCTGCTGCTGCCCTGCCCTCGTGAGCCCCCCCTTCCCCTTTTTTCTGGGGCCACATGCGAACCCTTCCCCTACCCCCCACGATTTCTCAGGGGGAGGGTGGGGTTCATTTCGCTCGGGAGCTCCCGGTCGATGTGAATCCTGCTGCTGCAGTGGCGTTTTTCAATGCATGCTCCGCGTGCGGATCATGAATAAGACATGCAGGGATTTAGTATGGAAATCAACGATGAGTTCATGCATACATGAAATCATACATTAATCATGTATTAACAATCTTATATTTTCAACAAAAATCCGATGTATTAAAACTGCCCTGTACCCTGCCCTCGTTTGCACCCCCCTCCCCTTTCTGGGCCTCCGGGGAGGCCCTCGTCGCCATTGCTGGACTCTCCGCGAAGTCCTGGTCAGCGCACCCCAGGAGAGGTCCGGGGAGCAGCGATGTCGGATGTGGGTACTTGTTGGCTTCCTCGCACCACGGGCGGCCGGCGGCGCGAGGAAGCTGGGGCGTCTGGCCTCTTGGCGCTGCTGCCCCGCGGCTGGGGTTTCTTTGTGTGGAGCGGTCCAGAAGCGGCCTCGCCTGCGAGGGTCGAAGGAGTCGCGGTCTCTTCCTCGGCGGAAGTCGGCGGCGGGGCGGCCGAAGCCCGCGGAAGTAGGGCGAGGGCGGGTCCGCAGGTGGAGGCCAGCGGAAGACCAGTGGAAGCCGGCGGGAGTGAAGAGGTGTGTCCCCAAGAGATGCTTACCAGCCTGGAACATATTCCTATCCCTATGTTGGGCATCTCCTCATCACGATGCCAATCTTAGGGATTCCCTTTTTTTCGAGGGCGGATAGATTGTCATCGCCTTTTGGCGTGCCAATCTTAGGGGTAGGGATAAGTTCGAGGCTGGTAAGATGCCAGGTTTTCTTTTCCGAAACCAGTTTGGCTCAAGCATCTGTTTTGCTCAAGCCGCTGTGGCGCAAGCCTCTGGGCCAGGGCCGCTGTCCGCGCGCGGCGGCTTCGCATCGTTTGCACGTAGACGGTGCCCATTTTGGCGTGGAAACGGAAGTGGACCATCAGCGGTGATCGATGGGACTTCCCAGTCATTTTGAAGCATCTACGCATCCGTCTTTGGCGCAGCATACAGCGCGCAAGCGCGCGCGCTTCCGCGTGGCGGTTTCTGATTGCTCGCAATCGGGCAGTCTCCATGTTGGCTTGGAATCTACAGTTACCCCTTAGCGGTGACCGATGGTATTTCCAAGTTGGCACGGGGCCTTAACTTGGACGCCTTTTGGCGCAACGTACAACGCGCAGGCGCGCGCTCGCGCGCTTCCGCGTGGCGGTTCCTGATTGTCTGCAATTGGGCAATGCCCATGTTGGCTTGGCAACTAAAGTGGGCCCTCAGCGGCGATCGATGGGATTTCCATGTTAACGTGGTTTTTACGTGTCAGCCGATGGGCGCAGCGTGCGACGTGCACGCGCGCGCGTGGCGGTTTCTGATTGGCTGGAATAGGATAGTCTCCATGTTGGCGTGGAAACTATAGTGGGGACTCTTTGCTGTGATCGATAGGGGTTCCAAGTTGTTGACGTTGTGCCTCTACGTGCCCGTCAATTGGTAGTGTACAGCGCGCAGACGTGCGCTCGCGCGCGGCGGTTTCTGATTGTTTGCAATCGGACAGTCTCCGCGTCGGACTGGCATTAAAATTGAAACCCTCGCGGTGACCGATGGAATTGTCAAGCTTACGTGGGGCCTCGGCGCATCCGAGTATTGGCGCAACGTAGAACGCGCAGACGCGCGCGCGCTCGCGCCTGACGGTTTCTGATTATTTGCGATCGGATAGTCTCCACGTAGGCCTGGAATCTGAATTGCGTCCTTAGCGGTGGTCGATGGGACTTCCGAGCTAACATGTGGCCTCCACGTATCCGTCTATTGGCGCAGCGTGCAACGCGCAGACGCGCTTGCGCGTACGCGCGCGCGTAACGACTTCTGGTTGTGTGTAGTTGGACAGTGCCCTTCATGGCCTGGATACTAGAATGGACTCTCAGCGGTTACCGATGGGATTTCCAAGTTATCATGGGGTCTCTACATGTTCGTCCATCGGCGCAGCGTAGAACGCGCAGGCGCGCGCGCGCTCTCGCGCGCGGTTTTTCTGACTGGTTGCAGCAGGGCCGTCTCCATGTTGGCCTGGAAACCCAAGTGGGCCCTTAGCGGCGATCGATGGGATTCCCATGTTAACAGGGGGCCTCTGCGCATCCGTCTAGTGGCGCAGCGTGCATCGCGCAGACGCGCGCGCGGCGGCATTTGATCGTTTGCAATGGGACAGTCTCTTTGCCAGCCGGCAAGCTAAAGTTGACCCTTAGCTGCGACCAACGGGGTTTCCCAATTTTAATTGGGCCTCCACGTATCCGTCCATTGTCGCAGCGTACAGTTCGCAGACGCGCGCGCCGGCGCTCGCCCGCGGCGGTTTCCGATTGTTGGCAATAGGACCTTCCCATGTTAGGTTAGAAACGAAAGTGAACCCTCAGCGGTGGCCGATGTGATTTTCAGGGTAACATGTGGCCTCTACGAAGCCGTCTATTTGAGCGGTATACAACGCGCGTGCGCGTGGCGGTTTCTGATTGTTCGCGATCGGACCGTCCCCGCGCTGGCTTGGAAATGGAAGTGCAACCTTAACGGTGATCGCTGTGTTTTTCAATTTAACACGGGGTCGCTACGCGCAGACGCGCGCGCGCGCGCTCGCGCGTGGCGGTTCCTGTTTGTTTGCAACTGGACACTCTCCACGTTGGCCTGCTAGCGGACATGAATTCTGAGCGATGGGCGATGTGGCGTCCAAGTCAGCACTGCGCCTCTACGTGCCCGTCTCTTGGCGCAGCGGGCAACGCGCAGGCGCGCCCGCGTGGCGGTTCCAGGTTGTGTGCGCTGAGACAATAGCCATGTTGGCTTGGAAACTCCAGGGGGTTCTTGTGGTGGTCGGCCTCCACGTATCCGTCTACTGGCGCAGCGTGCGACGTGCAGACGCGCTTGCGCTCGCGTGCGTTTGCGCGTGGCGGTTTCTGATTGTTGGCAATCGGACAGTCCCCACGTTGGTTTGGAACCGAAAGTGAACACGTAGCGGTGATCGATTGGGTTTCCAAGTTTGCATCGGGCGTCTACGCATCCGTCGACTAGCGCAGAGAACACCGAGCAGACGCGCGCGCGCGCGTGGTGGTCTCTAGTTGTTTTGAACAGGACAGTCTCCATGTTGGCTTGTATAGTACAGTGAACTCTTAGCGGTGATCGATGGGGTTTGCAATTTGACATGGTGGCTTGACGCATCCACCTAGTATTGGCGCAGTGCACAATGCGCAGACGCCCGCGGCGGTTTCTGATTGCTTGTAATATGACAGTCTCCATGTTGGCCTGGGAATTACAGTGCGCCCTCAGCGGTGATCGCTGGGTCTTGGTCTACCCTGGGCCGCAGGGCGTGTCTGGTTTAGCACTTTCGCGGCCCAGAGAGGGTGCAGAGGGGGTGCTCCGTGAGCGCATTCTCTTTCCACGCCACGGGCGCAAGCTGTGGCAGGCGTGGCCTGGCGCCAAGCAAGGGTGCGCAGGCATCCGCCCTTGAACGCGGAGTGCCAAGGCGGTCGCGCGGACGTCCCCGGTGGCCCAGTTTGCTCCGTCTTTCTGTATTTTATATGCTCACTACAGCTCCAGGAATCATATGTTTCAACTGTCTTCCAAATGGATTTGTCCAAACCGTTTTCGGACATTCCAGTGATGCTGTTGGTTGTTGTGCCTGTCTTGGCGCGTGTCGTGCTGCTGGATCCTGTCGTGCGCGTCGCGGCGGTGTTGCTTCTTGTGCGTGTGTTGGTGCGTGTAGTGCTGCTGCTTCTCGTCGTGCTGGTCACACTGGTACTGCTCGTTGCGTTTCAGTTTGCTTCGCGTGGCTTTGTTGCTCCCAGTCGTGTTCGTCACAGTGGCGCTGCAGGTGACGCTGGTGCTGATGCGTTTGGTGTTGCTGTTTCTGTCGTTGTGGTCACACTGTTGCTGCTGGTGGCGCTTGTGCTGTGTCGCGTTGTGCTGCTGCTCCATTGCCTGTCTTGATCGTCGTACTGGTGCTGCTAGTGTCGCTGGTGCTGGTGCGCGTGGTGGTGGTGCTGTTTCCTGTCGTGTTTGTCAGGTAGGTACTGCTGGAGTTTCTTGTGTGGCTTGCACTACTATTTCTGATGTCGTTGGCTTTGGTGTTGTTGCTGCTGCGCATGGTGCTGCTGTTTCTGGCGCCGCTCATCCCAGTGGCGCTGTTGGTTGCGCTTGAGCCAGTGGCACTTCGCCCACGATTGCGACGGACGTTCTCGCCTCAGCAGTGGCCACATCCATCATATCGATTTTGTGTTGGCCTTAACCCAGCGCGCCCATGGTTAGCAGCGCAGGCCACATCCACGATTGCGAGTTTTGCTTTCGCATCTGTGCCGGCCACGTCAATGATTGCGACCGTTGCCATCGCTCCAGTGCCGGCCACATCCGTCATTGCGAGCGCCACTCCCGCCCCAGCGCCAGCCACATCCACGACTACGACGGTTGGTGTCGCCCCAGCGCCAGCCATATCCATGATTGCGAACGCTGCTCTCGCCTCAGCGACGGCCACATCCATGTTTGCGAGTGTTGCTGTCGCCTTGGCTCTGGCAGCATCCACGATTGCGAATGATGCTCTCGCTTCAGCGCCGGCCACATCCACGATTGCGACAGTTGCGTTCGCTTCAGCGGTGGCGCTTCAGCTTTTGCTTCAGCGCCGGCAACACCCACGATCACGAACATTACTCTCTGCCGAGCGCCAGCCACGTTCACGATTGCGAAAGTTGCTCTCGCCCTGGCGCCGGCTACATCCATGATTGCGACTGTTGCTCTCGCCCCAGCGCCAGCCACATCCATGGTTGCGAAAGATGCTCTCGCTTCAGCGCCGGCCAGATTCTTCGTTGGAAACGCAGAAGGATTAGTGATACAGTTTGCACTTTTGCTTTACATGTTTGCATATTGCTTGGCGCCTGAGTCAGGTTAGGGTCGGGATAGGCTACGTTGGGGGGGGGCATCATTTCCAGTATCATTATCACCGTCATCATCGCAATCACCATCATCAACATCATCCTCGTAATCCTCATCCTCGTCAGCATCGCCATCATCGGCGTCATCAGCATCATCGTCATCATCAGCATCATCGTCATCAACAACATTCGCATCAATTGCATTATCGGTATCATCGTCAGCGTCAGCATCATCATCATCATCATCATCGTCACCGTCCCTATCATCATCACCATGATCAGCACTGCCGTCACCATCATCATCACCATCATCATCAGCATCGTCACCACCATCATCATCATGATCCTGATCATCATCATCATCATCATCGTCATCATCCTGCCCATCATCACCATGATCAGCATCGTCATCATCACCATCATCATCACCACCAGTGTTACCATCATCATCATCAACATCATCCTCATCATCATCATCATCATCATCCTCATCCTCGGCATCACCACCATCGCCATCATCACCAGCATCATCATCTTCATCATCATCATCGTCATCGTCGTCGTCATCATCAGCATAGTCATCATCAC